TTTCTCGCTTTCTGTCTCTCTGTCTCTCTCTGTCTCTCTGGCAAGCGCACGTGCCTTATAGCAAAAACTTCTCAAAAAAAAAAAAAAAAAAAAAAGATGAGTGTTTTCCCCTGCATCGTATACTGCATGTAAGACATGCAACTATCCATACGCGTGTAAACACAGTTCCTCCTATACAAGTAGGCATGCTCATATATGCATACATGTGCATACAAACTATGTATATGTAGGCTCTGGGATGCAAACATATACACACACATGCGCCCCTCCTGAATCCACAAAAAAGTAACTACTCAAATGTCACAAAAGTCGTCCAGAAAGTCAAGGAAAGGCTGGAATTGACAGACCATAGAAACAGACAGACAGACACTAAGTCCTTAACACACCAGTTAACAGGCCTCTGGTATTGTCTTTCACACAGAAGCTTGTAAAACATCTGCATTATCTGACATAAGCACAGCTTTTCCTTTAGAAGGGTTCAATAAAGATAAGGATTTTCTCATGATTCTATTGTAGAACAAAAACAATCACCTATTCCCAAATCAGCACAATGAAATAAAGACACCCCACACCCACCCCTTTCCCCATGACTCCACACACACGCAACAGTCACTCCTTAAATTTTCTTGAGCACCTACTATGTGCTTTTGTGTATATTATATAATTTGCTTCTCAGAAAAACTTCCCAGGTAGGCAACATCATTCATATTCTTTTTTTTTTTTTTAAACAGGGATTTTTGCTATAGGGCACATATGCTCTCCAGAGAGACAAAAAGTGAGAAATCACCCCTTAGGGAGGATAACCACTCTTACAATCCCTTCTCTTCCAGTCTCCTCTTGAGATTTTGGGCACACACATACATGCACCTGGCATGAGGCTTAAACCACCGGATCCAGACCTTGAACAGCAGTGGACTATGTGAGAGTCCATCAATGCAACTACTATACCATCTGCTGATCCCTCATTATTCATATTCTTAGAGATAAGTAAACAGGCTCAGAGAAGTTCAGTAACCTGACCAAGTCTAAGAGGTTTGTCTGAAACTGAAGTCCATTCTCCTTGGGTGACACCAAGTATAGGCACGAAGATTCAAGACCTAAGAATTATCAACAGTTTAAGGAGTGAATGACTCTCACACGGCAAACAGAGCTAGTAAGTACTAATGACTGAGGCTGACAGGAGAGCTTAGGGAGCCTAAGGATGGCTTACAAGGCCGGGTATATCATTGATAAAAAAAGACAGCTTGGTAGGCTGGGTATATTATTGGTAGAAAAGGAGAGCAGGAAACTGAGGAAGAATGAATGAGAAATATAAGGACATACAGATGGAATGACCATGACCCAGTTAGGAGCCTGAGCAGGAGGGATCTTAAAAGAAGGAAATGAAAGTTGGGGGGTGGGGTGGCCAGAGCCTTGAATAGCAGGCTAAAGGGCCTAGATGCTAATTCATTTGATATTTTCTGCTAGGCCTTTCTGCTAGAAAATGGGACTAGAACTGTGAATGGAACAGAAGAGAACAAAGATCCCTACTCTTAGGGAGCTTACCTGTGAGGTGGAAGCAGATCAAAAATAATGTGCTTTTTAAAAAGGAAATTATAGAGAATGAAAGTGGCAAATATTGTGGGGAAGGAAAAGTACAAGCAGATCACAGGGAAGAGATGAAGGGAAGCTGCAGTTTTAAATAGGACGGTCAGAGCTGGCCTCACCAAGAGGTGATGTGAACAGATTCAGAGGAGGTGAGAGAGTAAGCCCCACCAATCTCTGGGGAAAGTACATGCAGGACATTCTAAGGCCTCAGCGAAAGCCAGGGAGAGGCCTCAAGGTAAGTATGTGCCTTCTTGCTCAGTCACAGCCCAGTGGCCAATGTGGCTGAGGGAACAGTCAAGTGAATGAGGGTGAGAGAAATAGGACAGAGGTCTAAATTTACCTCTGTGAACAGCGGGCGCCTCAAAAGGTGAGAGAGCAGAGAAATAAAATTAGTGTGATGATATAGTAAGGCCAAGTTGACTGGTAAGTATTTCATTCATCTGTACAAATCATTCATTCCATGAACTGAGCAGTAGGAAAATACATGTCGTGGGGCCATGCCCCTGCATCAGGCTGGACCAGGTGAGAATAAACGCATGCTGCATCCCAGCTTCAGGAGCTCCAATCCTCACATGGTCTGGGCCATGAGAAGGAACAGAGGCCACAGAACCCAGGGGAGCTGGCTGGGACAGCCCTCATCTGTCTCCTGGTCCACCACATCACCTCCTTTGTCTCCCTCTGCTGCCTTCTCTCCATCCCCGCTACGACAACTAGAGAGTTCTTCCTACAGTGAGGTCATGCCACTTCCTCCCTGGGAACTTCTTCTCATCCTCCCTCTGTACTTGCTATGCTGCCCATATAGTATCTTCTAGCTGCAGGTGGCCATTGACAGTTAAAACCACCAACACTAAACACAATTTTGAATTTAAAATCCAGTTCCTCGGTTGCATGAGCCCCTTTCCAAGTGCACAGCAGCTGTCTGTGGCTAGCAGCTACCCTACGAGACATCGCTGACATAGCACACCACATCACCATAGGAAGTTCTAACAGGGCAAGCCAAGACAGGAAACTGACTCCTACAAGGCCTGCCGGACCCAGGTGTACTAACTCCTGCCCACGTGTCCAGCCTTCTCTGGGGGAACACTGTGTTCTGCTTGTCATGCTCC